GTGAAAGGCTCATGATTGACAAGCCTCAAGCCTCTGCCTTCAACGTAACTAATCGACCTCTCCATTCCTCTTTTAACTGCATGTATATTTTTGTTTAGCATTTCTGCTCTTCTGGCTCATTACCGATACTAAACATGCATTTTTACACCATGCAATGTTATACTTTCGAAGGCAGAGGACACAAAGGAATTTTTAAATAACTGTGAGACCTTATCTAAGGCCTCCAGATAAAGGTCGTCTTCGCCTTTAGCCTGGTATCCTGTGGGCAGAAGGCCAGATGCATATGATCAGCATCTCTTTAAGCGCTCAGCATTTAGAAATATCTGGCAGGATGCACCTGAAGGATGTATGAAAAACAGTGGGCCATTCAGGAGGAGGAGGAGGTCTTATTCACACAAAGCGACTCACCCTTGTGCAGCGACGTGCTACGGCTTGACCGGAGCTGTTGGCACGTGGCCCGTGGGGCTGAGTGAGTCCCCGGTGCCCTGTGGCACATAGTGCTCCTCACCGCTGCACAGTGGCCTCTACAGGGGCAGCATTTTTGGGAAGCTTTGATTTATTTTACAGCAAATAATTGTCAGTCACTCCCAACCTTTTCAGGCTAAGCCCTTGTGTAATCTACAGACCCAGCATTTTTGGTCAAAATGCGCCAGTCGTAGCCCCAAAATCCTTTAAGTGCAATGAAGGGTTTTCATATTTTTGAGCTGTCTCTTAGTTGTTGAGCTGTTATCCTGCATTTACAGCATATTTTGTTTTTTCTTTGCGTAGAGAGCTGGTAATTTCATTTAAGGAGAGAAGAGAAGCTGAGGTACCCACAAGATCCTGCAGCTCAGAACCTGAGGCTGCAGAAAGGTATGAAATCCCATGGGGTTTCTTTCCAAATACGTTTGCTGTCGAATACGGGAGGGCCTGTTCTCGAGGAGACGAATTACCAGACCTCTGATACCAGTTAAGATGGGGTGGCCATTTGCTGGCACTGCAAAGAAACACATTTTCTTCCGCTAACTTGTGCTAGAGAAGGAGAACATGTCACGCTGGGGTCTTGCCCGGGGCTGTGCCATCAGGGGACATGCGCTGCCATCGGTGTGGGTGGCTTGGAGACCTCCCAGTCACCCTTTGGGGTGAGGCTTGAAACAGGATTGCCCCAGCACCAGGTGCCAGTGGAGTCCTTCAGATCCATCCTTCACAAACCTGCCTAGCTGTAGCCAGGCTCCGGATTTGGTTAACTTCGGCCTTTCTGTGGCATCTCTGTTGAAAGACCTTGGTTTTGTGTCTGCCCAAGAAGGATGAAGATGTCTTCTTTTTATAGCTGCTGAGTTTGGGCAGCAGGACAAGCACAAGAGATAATGTCATGATGTTGCTCCTAGATTATATTTCCTCTTGTCAGAATAATAAACATGTTTTACGGTCACAGGAAAGGGGGTGAATTACAGGAACTGCAGCCGGGCACATTGTGCCTTTGAAAGTGTGAGAGCACTGGCAGACAAAGCCAGCACCTGCGGCCCCAGGTCTTGTGTCAGATCCAGCACCTCCCAGCCTTGAAGGCAGCCGAAATACCGTCCTCCTCGGCAGTGACGCTGGATTTGTCTCGTCTTCTCTTGAACCACGCTGCTGAGGTTTTGGAGGACCTGAACTAAAGGCTTTGAGTTTCACATATGGGTTTGTGGAGGCCAAACTCATGGTCTTTGTCTTTCTACATGCTTCCAGAAAATGACAAGTTTTCCTTGATCTCTTTTTACTTTGAATTGTTGCTCTCTATGTTAGCTCACCATCGTGACCATCTTGGCTACCTTTCTGTCGTGGTTTAACCCCCTCTAGCAACTAAGCACCACACAGTCAACTTAACTCTATCCCAGCCAAAACCAGTACACTTCCCACACACCAGAAGAGACCATTAGACCCAGTTGTCTAACCTCCTGCACGTCAAAGTGATTTGACTTGAAAGCCTTGAAAGTCGAGCGTGTGACTTTTCCTCACAGGCTGGGGCTGTATGTAAAAAAGACCATTTTGGGGCCTCTAAGAGAGTTCAGAGAGTGAGTGAGGCAGGAAGACGGGGAAGAGTGTGAGCAGCTGAGGTGCTTGAGGATGCCATCGTGGTGACGGGGAATGTTATCCCTCATAGAGCCATCAAAATTTGTTGTTAAAGTTAAGGGTGGGAGATCCACCAGCACTCTTCGGACATCCAGGTGCTGGAGCAGGTATTCCCATGCTGGGTCCATGTTATAATATTCAGTGTGTAGGGGACTACAGTGACCAATTTCAGCTTTACCAATCTTTTCTTGCCACCAATCGTGTGAGTGCTTTTTGAAGCCGTATAGATTTGGATCTGCGAAATGATTGTTGAATGAGATAGAGATGGCTTCTGTGGTCCTGCCTGCGCCTAAGGGTGATAACAGTCACTCCTCCCCAGCCCGTCACGCACCACCCACAGCACAGCTGTTCCCATGGAGGACCTTTTTCTCCCCAAAGTAACTTTAAATCCAATGTAAGTGTGTAGTTTAAAAAAAAAAAAATCAGTCATACTAGAGTGGGGTGAAAATCTTTCTGTAGACAAGCAAGCAATCCGTTTAAGAATAACAAATGCTGTTGCACTCCCCTTGAACTCTTTCACAGAATCATTAAGGTTGGAAAAGACCTTTAAGATCATCAAGTCCAACCATCAACCCACCACCACCATGCCCACTGAACCATGTCCTGAAACCTTTGATTCAAGGACGAGCTGATCCCATTCAGTTTTGCAGGTATAAGTGATAACTATGAAACCCAGCTTATGTTTGCAAAAACGCGTTTATTTTTTAAGCATCAGTTTCTGGAAAGAAAAATGTAGGACAAGCTATATAGTTACTATAACAGTGCCTCTTGTGCAACTTGTTTTCACCTGATAAATGGAGAATTGCATGAGAAAAAAACCACAGTCAACAGCTCTCAGTCACATGCTAGCTGATCAAGGTCCATAAAAATCCTCGTAAAAAAACAGCCATTGAAACTAAAGTCTCCTATAGTCTCCTGATAATATTATACAGTGTCTAGCTTATGAGAAGACTTAAATTGACCAAAAATTAATTATGCATGCTTAACTGTGTACCTGAGTGTCAACCTCTGCTCACATTTTTAAAGGCACTACTTGCAGTGTGTAAACATGTGTGTATATCCTTGGCATAACGAAGTGCCACTTAAAGGAGAGAAAAGATTTCCATTGACCCAGTGGGAGATGGACTGTTTGCCTTCTAATGCAGCTTTCTCACCAGAAGCCTGCAATAATACTCTCTGTGTGAAAGTTACTTCCTTCAGATAGGCACGTTTTGGTATTTTCACTTATCTACATGTAAGATTAAGTTCATCGCACTGTAGCCCATAATCTTCTCACAAATTGGAGGAGAACTACAAGAGCTTGTTGTATTTGATCGGTATGTCTTCGTTGCCTTTTAGAGGAACTCCGGTGTAATGATTATTTAAACCTGGCTATTGTTTGCTTTTTCCCATTTTTTGTAAAACAATCAAGTGGGAAAACATAATAAGCAGAAATTTTTTTGGCTGAGTTAAAATGTAATTAAGTGGAATTGAGTAGTTAGATTTAAAATATACTTAGTAAGCATTTCTGGTATTTCTCCTATTTTTGTAGCAACATGTAAGATGCCGCCACTGGTGCTTACTGAGAATTGTACACGTTCCTTTTGAAAAAGCACAGCCTTTCAAAGGCAATAAATCAGTGTGCCTGTGTTCAGCCAAAACAATCCCCAGGTATCATGAGGATACCTTTGAAGTTACACAAAGTGGGTGAACTTGGCCAAAGAGCTGTCACTAATTTAAAATAAAGGGTAAATGGCATTCTTTCTTGTCATTGCTTTTCATATCTTCATAGCCAATGAAGTTATAAAAATGTAAACATTAAGATCACGAGAGGAGCTGGTGAAAAGAAATCACAATGAATAATTTACTTTAAAAATCAGCTTTACTTAAGAAATATGCTGTGTTAGTGAAATCACCTTGGCAAGGATACCTCTCTTTTTTAAAAGATGTGTCAATTGAATGCATTGAGCAGAGATTTCACAGGGCACATCCATCACAGGTACCTCTGGGCCAAAGAAGCCACACGCGGAAGACAGCGAGGACCCGAACGGGGCCACCAGCATCGTCAAATCCACCTGCACCGACGCCGAGTCCGGCTGTGCCCAGCCTGCGGCGCGCGCCCGGTGGTCCTGCCCCTCGGGATCCGGAGGCGAAGGCCATGTGCTGATGCCACCCTTGCCAACAGGGGCAGCTCGGAGGGGAAGAAATTCCCTTGGAGCAAGGGAAGGTCCCACTCTCTGGAGTGTTTGAGGAGCTGTTGGGAGAGTTTGTCTTGCAGAGAGTCTTGCACCAGCTGTAGGCGCAAGTTACAGGACACATCAGCAGTTAAGGAGCAAATTTAGAGCTGGGTGAGGAGGAAATAATGAACAAGAGCGGGAGGGGGGGTGTGGGAATGACGAAGCAGAAGTAAGTACGGTGACCAGTGGGATGCACTCAAAAGCCAGGAGCGGGCAGCAGCAAGCCAGGGCTGCCGTGCTGAAGCACGGTGCCAGCCTCCACGCATCTGCAGCCCTGAGTGTGGAGACCAAAACTGCCATGCATTATTACTGGCCATTTTCAGGTTCTTGTGTGTGTTGTGTGTTTTTAGTAGAGAAGACACTTAAGCAGATGTCAGCGTATGGATGTGGGATTGTCTTTGGCTTGATCATAGAGCCGTGGAGTTGGGAAAATAGAAGAAAAGCTTTTGGGATGTTTCCACCATTTCCTAGCAAAAGCTTTGTCACTCCCTCCTGTACATTTTCTGGTCCAGTGAGGTCAGGCGTGGGTGGCATAGCAGTAGGTGCAGTCACGGCAGTTGGGTCACTCTTCAGCTTCCAACACATTGGTCTTAAAAAGAGTTTTATCTTCTATATACCAAAAGATTTCCACTGCCACAAAACTCCCCTGAATAAAATTGCAGGATCTTCCACAACGGAGTTGGTAATCAGGTATCACAGAACAGTCCCAGATTCCATATGAAATATCTTCATTCTTTTAAGCTGGCTTTCTTGTCATTCCTTAATTGATGAGGCACTCTCTTTGCTCATGAGCCGACTCCTGATGACCATGCTGCTGTGCCTTGATATCTGGTCCTGGAACTCTGAAGTCATAAAGAAATACAGAATTGGATCCAAACAGCAGTCCAGACTTGCAAGACTTAAGCAAAAGGGTTGGGTGTAGAGCGTGATGGCACTCAGGAAGCAGTCTGTAATGACATGTTCTTTCACCAACATGTAGAAAAAGAAGTTGATGTGGTAGGGTGCAAAACACACGCAGAACACAATGGCACACATAGAAACCATCCTTAAAGCCTTCCTCCTCTCACTGCTGTTTTGCAGCGGTATCTGGAAGCCCCGAAGAGAGTCTTTTGTTTTCCAAGTACAGAGTAAAATAATGATGAGCGGGCCAATGAAACCGAAGAGCTCCGCCGTGCCTGTCATCACCACGGTGGCCACCTTGCTGTCGATCTGCCAGACTTGGAGGTCTGCAAAGCAGGTATTTGTGGTTTTGGCCAGGCCGTAGCTCCGCATGATGGGGAATGGCAAGCATGCCGCCCCAACAAAGAGCCACACCACAGCGCTGATGGCTACGTCGTACCGCCGCTTCCAGTCCTTGGCTTTGAACGGCTGATACAGGAAGAAATACCTCTGAATGCTGATGCAGGTGAGGAAACAAATGCTGGCATACATGTTGAGGTACTTCAGGTAGAAACACAGTAAGCAAAGGAATCTCCCAAAAGGCCACGTGGAGTTAATATAATAGTATATTCGCAGTGGCAGCGAGAGGACGTGAGCCAGGTCTGCCATGGCCAGGTTGATCATGAAGATGACGGCTTTGTTCTTCTTGCTGATGAAGCGGCACAAGACCCACAGGGCTGCGCTGTTTGCCAGGAGGCCGGGGATGAAGATGATGGTGTAAGTGGTTGCGTAAAGGCTGTTTTTGAACGTTATATTGTGATTGGAGCAGGTCTGGTTGCTTTGCATCATGACTGGGCTGCTGGAAATACCTGTTGTGGTATAGGGCGGGTGGGTCATTCCTATAGAGAACAAAAACAGGTGCTGTAAAGGCCAAGGCACTGCAAGCGTTGTCAATATTCATTTGCATTTCCAATTTGACTGTTCAGTACAAAGTAGAGGTTTGGAAACGTCTTCTGTCTAAAACATCCTGCTATCTTTTTCAAAGCTGCCCTTTCAGAGGTCTCCCACTATTCACGCAGAGGTGGGGGGCCATTCCTGTTGTGTCAGTCCCCTTGCGGGGCTGTCCGAGTGCCATAAACACAGGTGAAGCTGTGCCACACTGCTAACGGAGGAACAGGAGACGCTGCCTAACCTTCTCAAGGTCATCTGTGGTTTGGTCTCTGGGTAGCAGGGGAGGAATACATGGAAGAAAGGTGTGGCATAGCCCAGCTTCTGCATGAGCAACCACATGGCCCAACGATCAAAGCGTGGGTGCCAACTACTGAGTCATACCTGCCGCCAAGTTGTACATTAGGCATTGCACGGGTGGCATGCCTCCTGACCCCATCAGTGGACCTCATGGACCCACCTTCTCTGCCATGATGAGGACGGGCCATGTGGAAAAGGGTCGGAGGGAGTGGGCTTGAGAGGTTTGACTGTTGTAAATGCAGCCCGTGCTGCCATGTATTTAAGCTAATGTAACAAGCAGAGACCTACTCAATCACCACTTCCATTTCTCATCACCTCAGCACCCCAGGTTAACACGTCTTTCCATCAGACAATTTTATCTTTAGACGCTTCCAATTTCTGGCTCTCTTTTGATTCAGATGAGTAGGGGTGGCGAAATGTCACATGTTGAACTGTTGGGCTACCTTTCTTTTGTCAGCTTTTGTAACTGGGACTTGTCTTCAGTAAGGCAACGCAGGCAGGAGGAGTTTGGTTTTATCAGGTATTTCCCCACAGGGTTATAATTCTCATTACAGTGATTCCCTCCTGTGTATAATATAACGGTTAAAATTGAATATCAGCTTCCTATTTCATGTGGCACTGCAGACACTGATTCATTCCTCCTGACTCATTTCCTGCACTGCTGGCAAGGGTCATTTGCCAGAAAAAGTGTCTCTGTAGGTAGATATTAGTAACTCGTACCCTGTTACTAATGTTTTTTTCCTTCATATTACAAAAAAAGAGTAGAGTTTAGAGCTCTCAAGTGACAAGGAACAAAAATAGCTGTTTCTTCAGCTTGTTAATCGTTGCGGTACTTGGACTTGGCAGCTCATCCAGACATTGTTCAAGGCTGCTATGGAAGGGTTGTAATTCAGGCCCAGATGTGGCAAAGTCCCAGGATGGGACACAGGCCACCCTCACCGCGGGTGCAGTGGCTCTGGCTGATGCTGACGATGAGCAGGGCCACCTAACCACTCCCTAAACAGATGCTGCTGCCAACTTTCTTGCTTTTCTTTTAAACTTGTCTTTCATTTTCTCATGCTCTTCAAAAAGCAAGGTCTGCATGTTTATCTCCTGCAGCACCCTCAGCTTTAGCAACTGGGCTACATCCTTCAGTTGCACCAAATATCAAAGAAATGTTCTAGTTGAGAAACCCTCTATCCAATCCCCCTCCTTCACCAAGGTGGCACGAGTACACCGAGGCCAGGTGCCTCAGAGCATACCTCCCAGGCTGGTTTTGTCCCTCCAGGGCAATCCCTCCAGTCTTCAGTTTGCTCCCAGTAACCCTCGCCCCAAGGCAGCTCAAAAATGAGGTGCTCTGCTTCGTGGTGGGGCGTCCCCAGCTGCCCCCGTCCCAAGACACCATAACCTTGCTCCTATCATGAGGCCGTAACATGCCCAGGAGAAGGGAACAGAACTCAAAGGGCACTGGAAACAAGGGGGAAAGATGCATCTGGCCCATGGCCTTATCTCCATCGGTCTGAGAAGCAATGTTGGAGGCCTCCCACTCTCCTTTCGGGTGCTCCTCAGGACACTGAGACAGGGAGTGGACAGAGCACGGAACTGAGCACTGGGGTGTTCACTCAGAGCATTGCTGCTCAGCGAGGTAAATTTGGGTTACATCCCACTTCTTGAGAGTGCTGTGAATTTCTGGTGCTCTGGATGTTTGTGTTCCCTTTCCACCTGGTTCACCAGCAGCTCTAGCTGGACATGCTGTCTGCTGCCCTTGTCTCCAATAAGAGCACTGCTCACTACACCCAACTTCTGTCCCTTCAGGTGACCTCTCGGTTTGCCAAGAAGCCATCAAAGAGCCACTTTCAAAGTTACTAGCTGCCTGATTTCCCTTGGTGTCAAGGTTAGGCTGACTGGATGGTGCTCCTCCAAAAACACGAGTGCCAGATGGCCATTGAAACCATGGAAGATTAGGTACATTTGCAAAATGTTCTATTTTAAGGGCAGGCTCATATTTAAATGGTGGCCACTGGGTGTGTGTTCTTGAGTTCAAATGAGTCATGACAGTCGGTTTGCTTATTGAGGTCCCTAGATACAGTTGGCCCTTATTTACATTTCGTGTGACAGCTAAGGACCCGACCGCAACGTCAGCAATCAGAATAATCAAGTTCAGGCTGCTGACTCAAACTGGCCTCTGAATGGAGCCATGTAGGGCAAACCGATGTGTCCGGGATGTGTCTGCTGTAACATAAGGGTGATGCTGAGTGCACACGCTTGATACCAGAATTCAGCCTTCGCTTTCTGATTGCAGCAAACCGCCCAGGCGTGCAGACGAGCACAAGCCTGGGCTGCAAGCGTGCCGGAGACCATGGTGGAGCCCACAGCACGGAGAGGTTCCCCCTCAGGCTTCAGCCACATCTGCTAATTGTCCACAAGGTGTCAGAATTAATCAAGATTCTATTTCTTTGTCCTCTTTGAGGTGGTTTTCTAAGCCCCAAGGGACTAGGGCTGTCTGAGTGGCGGGAGGCAGAGGCGGTAGTGTGGCTCTGTTCTCGTGAGTTTGTGTTGCTATCTTCTAGAGTGATCCCAAACTGAAAAATTCCTCTGTTGATAAATAGCTGGTATTAGGGGTAAAAATGCCCTCAGGAGTAGTCATCATATTGCTGGTATTTATGGGTAGAAGTATCCTGAGAAGCTGCACTTTGATGGAGACTAGGGAGCTGCTTTGAACCTTGGAACCAAAAGGTTATAAAACCCAACCTGTGGAAATGCAGGTGATGACCCATCCCCACCAGCCCAAGCAAGTGTAAGACTGGAGTTGATGAACAGGAGACGTATGGCCCGTGGAGTCAGAAAAAGCCTCTCCTTTGCGTTCACCAAACCCGCGGTCAGACCATTTACAGTGAAGTGGGCTGAGCAGGGTGACCTGGCTGGCAGTGCAAACGCATTAAGACAATTAATATATACATGGGTGATGTCTGCTGGCTCATCAGAACAGGGCACTTCCTGAAAACGAATGATTTCATTACAAACTGATAAAAATATAATGAGATTCAGCCATCTCTTTAGACAAAATGCACCCAGGCATAGGCGCAGGGATCTACAAAGCGATGTGTTTCTGTCCTTCCTCCCACTTCTCTTGTTCAAATTGAAGCTTAATTTGTCCCCTTACCTCCCCACCGAGAGGTACCACCAAATGTCTGTCTGAAATGAGGTCTCCAAAGCTGTTAAGAAACCAAACGCATTTGCTGCATGATGGGTGTACAGCAAAGGTAGAAGGTTGAAAACTCCATCAGATTTTAGCGATGCTTATTTACATGTTGCAGGGAGACAGCTCCTACTGCAATACTGTTTTCAGAATATGAAATTAAAAAAAAAAAGGTAGTAAATACGGTGCTATCTAACTACTACTTTTTACATTTTAATTTGAGGCTGTTGCAATAAGGACATAATTAATTGTTCACATTATTACTCGTAGCTGGATGTTTGGAAACCAAACGTGGCATTTCTAGGAAAAAGACATTCACCTTGATAGGACTGAGAAGCACAGGAATGTCATCACAGAGATCTTTCTGGCGTGCCGGTCAGCAGATATGTTAATTGATTTAATTAAGACACAAATGCCTCTAAACTCTGCCCTCAGTGCATGGCCATGAGCATCTCTCACTATTGCACTTGCACTTTGGTATGAAACCTTTGCAATCAGAAAAGGGAAGTTCTACAGTTAAGGGTACTTTTTCTGGTTTTCTCCTTCTACAAAAAAAAAAAAAAAAAAAAAAGAGCCGATTTGGGTTGTCTGATCTGTTGTGATGAGATGTTTTTATTTTGCAACGCTAGTCTAGTTCTGACTTTTGCAGCTGAAGAAGCAAGGGCAGGCGCACGCAGCAGGACGCCGGCAGCCTCGTTGCAGCCCTTGCTCCAGGCTGGGCGAGCGCTGTCCGGTGGATGGGCTTCCACCATGGGTGCAGTTCCCATGGCTGGTGATGTTCGCACCAGAGCCAAGGTCCCAGTGCTTTCACTTGACATCAGAAAATGTGCCCTTGAACAAAAATCGCACTCTTACTTCACACATCCTACTGCTCCAGCCTGCCGCTGAAGTCCTCCCCACATAAACCTGCGGCAAGCCAGATTTGACATACTGACTCACCTTCGGTGCGATTCCCTTTTGATTTACTTTAAGAAATTTGAGATTCAGGGGCCACCCACTACGAATCCTGTCTATAATTGCCAAAGTGCATATGTGCTCTATTGCTGTGCTCCCGTCAGAGCCAAGCTGCTGGTGCAAGTGAATGCAAGCCCAGTGTAAAAAGTGAACCAACTTTTACAAAGTACAATTCAAAAGCTTCAGTCCATGAAGTTAAGTTTTAATCCAGACCAGTGACTGCAGTCTGGATTATGAATTAAAACTGCCTCAGGATTCTCATTAACAAAAACAAGTCCAAGTAATCTTGCTATTTTTGTCATATTGTCTCTCCCTGACTAATATTAATTTCTTACTTTTGCAATTCGGTCAAAGAGCATTGGATGGCACAAAGACAGGGAGCATGTAGATTTTTTTATGGTCATATAAATCACTGTTAGAAAAAACAGGTTTGCAAGTTTCCCTTACTGTCAAATACGATTTTAAA